CCGCTCACCCCGCCTCCCTGGGCCACTTCCTGCCCTGAGTCCTGACGCAGGGGGCCGTTCACCGTCGGGGGTTCCAGTGCGGGGAATGCACACCCCGTCACAGCCTGCCTCTGGGAAGTCGTGTGATCTAGTGGGCAGGGACTTACAGGACCTGGCTTTTATTCCAAGCTCTGGCTCACTGTGTGACCTTGGGCACCACCCCATGCCTCAGTTTCCCCCATGTGTCACATTGACAAATGGTGTTAATGATCCCCTCCCCCTTTTGCTATTTACACCGGAAACATTTTGGGACAGGGAATATTGCTCACTCTGCACGACGCCCGGCACAACGGGGGCCCCCAATCTCCATCAGGGTCTGTGCAGCGCCTGGAACGACGGGACCCTGATCGCAGCTGGAGGGATACCGTAATACACCTAATAATAACACTCATCCATGTGGATAAATACCCTTAGCCTGACTTCTAGTGCCATCTTAAACCCCACCCGGTGGGTACGGAAAGCCAGGAGGTTCACGCTGGGTACGGTGTATGGGCCAGCGCCGCTGCTGGTGCACATCAACAAAGCCACAGCCGCTGAGGACCTGGCCCAGTATTATTATTAGTTGTATTTTGTATTCCCATCGTGCTGAGGCGCCGCAGTCACGGACCAGGACCCCACCGCGCTCGGTGCTGTACAAATACACACAAAAGACGCTGCCCCATAGAGCTCTCAATCTCAGTATTAATCCGCAGGGGCAGCATGGTTCCGTGGTGAGAAGGAGGAGTCCGGACTCCTGGGTTCCCTTCCCAGCTCCGGGAGGAGCAGAGGGCAGTAGCTAGAGCAGAGGGCGTTGGGAGACACGTGCCGAACGTCGGATTGTGGCCTGACCTGGCTCCAGCAATTTAATATTTGCTTTTGCTGCAAATTCCTCCCATGGTTAGAATGACCCTGAATTGTGCCCCAACATCCGCGCTGTGGGTTATCGGCGTTTAATCATCGCTGTTTGTCGCCTTCTCTTCCCCCAGGGGACGGAGGTGTACCCGATGCTGGGATCCGTGCTGCATGACCCCACACAGTTCAGCAGCCCCGACACCTTCGACCCCAGCCATTTCTTGGATGGGAACGGCCAGTTTAAGAAGAGCGACGCCTTCGTGCCCTTCTCAATAGGTACGAATCCCCCGCAGAGCTCGGTTCTGAGCGGCCCAAGCAGCGAGATCTGGGCCTGGCCCAGCCGCCCGCTGCTAGACCTCACCCTGCGTACGGAGAATTGTGAGGCCAGATCACCAGCCGGTGTAAATCAGTGTCACTCCATTGCGGTCAAGGGGGCTGTTCACACACACTCCGGGGTAGGTGTGCGCTGAAGCGCCGTGGGGAATCGGGGCCTTGTGAGCTCTTTGGGGCAGGGACCGTCTCTCCCCGTGGGTCTGTCCAGCGCCTAGCACAAAGGTACCCTGACCTCAGGTGAGGCTGACGGACACATCTGGGGTAATTATCAGCTGTGTGCCACAGAACTGGTCACTCAAGAGAACACAAATGTCCCATAGACACGAGTTGCTCGGCTCCCTGCGGAACTGGGTGAAACTGAATGGTGTGCGGGGGGCAGAGGTCAGACTCGATGATCCCAATGGGCCCTTCTGGCCAGAGAGTCTGGGTCCCGAGCGTGTTATTTCTCTGTCCTGGGTCCTCGCCGTCCATCCCAGCTCAGTATCGTTAAACCGAGCCGAGCGGGTAATTCTTCACTGGCCCCTTTATCGGCGAGACCCGACCACATCGCAAATTCACATCGATGTCGCCACATTGTTTGTATCAGGAAAAAAA